GTGCGCGTATACACACACACACACACACACACACACACACACACACACACACACACACACATACATACATGCACACGTGCACATGTGGTTGAGCACTGATATTTTATTTCTCTTGCGCAAACATACACACAGACACACACACGCAAGCTCACAAACACACATACACAAACATACACAGACACACACACACCCACTGACATACACAGGCACACACATATCTACAAAAAACACACACATAATATACACTCACATAAACACATACCCATTCACTCCCATATTTATCATTTTTTATCCGTGCTTTTAATATTCATCTGCATTATCCTTACACTTTGTCTCAAGCATCAATATAATTTCTACTTTACCTAGTTAAAAAAGGACCATTTTGGAAGATATTTAATATGATTTTGAAATGCAAATCAGTTGTTGTATTTATTGTTTTAATGTCTTACAAAAACAGAAGAAAACTATTCTTAATTAAGCTGTGTTCAACCTTTTTAGCTGTTAAATTTACCAAAAGGTGTGTTGTAAAAATATATGAACTGAACATTTATAAGTAATAAGAATAATGGTATTGTTTTAGTACTTACATTTTGTAGACATCGTCCTTCAGAGAAATTGTAATGTCACTCCCAGATGTACACAGCGTCTCCAAAGGTTATAATTGGTACCACGAGAACCCAACATCTTTTTTTACACAACACAATGAACGCTAACACATCTCGTTCCGGGAAAAAAACTGTGTGAATTCCCTCAGCCAAGTTAATCTCTTTACTCTCGCAAGCTCCAGTTAGTCATGCGGTAAGAATTTTATTATCCCTAAACAATTCTTTAAAAAAAAATTTTTTGTTTGTTGAGTTTTTTTAGTAGAAGAAAAACAATTTTAAAAAGCAAGGATTAGGACGCGTTTTTCCGCCTCAATACGAACTAACCACATTTCAGTCAAATGTTCATAGTAATAATAATCCGATAGTCCAAAATCGTGTGCTGTGAGCCAAGATTGGCTGACAGGGCCGCATTGCGTGGTTGAGCAATGTCTCTGAATGTCCTATAATTGTCGGCGTTCCTTCCACACTAGCAGCACAGCTGGCGACGGGCGTTTGTGGTCGGTGGATGGGTGGGTGGAAGGATGGATGGACGGATGGACTATACTTGTTCCGCACAGCCCAGCACAGTTCAGACACAGTGAGTGCACCACGCCTTTGGTTTCGTTTCCGGCGGATTCACGTCTGTCCAAAGAGTCGATAAGCCGTGAAGTCGTCAGTGTGTCAGATTTCTTGTCGTCTCTTTTCTTTTCTTCTCCTGCTTGACTGACTGACTGACTGAGTGGCCGACTTTATAAAAACGATACAGCTAGCTTATGTTGGTCTATTTCACTACTAAAACTACTGTTTTCTTCCCTCTGCCCTCATTTATAAAAAATATAGTTCATAATTAATTACTCAATCTATTACAGGCTATTGCTTACTGGCTTAAAAAAGATTTACAGTGTATCAGACCTATATTCCACTATGCACTGCATTTTGTCTAATTTCAGTCATACTGTTTGATTTGTATCCCTCTGTACCCATTTCTCTATAACTCAAATTCAATGATACTCATCTTTCCTTAGCGCCCAGGGACAGACATTACAGTACTTTCTCTCTCCCTCCCTCA